GGTAAAGGAGTTGTTGGAACTATTACGAAACCTGTTGTAGGAGTTCTAGATCTTGCCACAGAAACTGCTACTGCTGTAAGAGAAACTAGTAGAAGGTACATATCTTCTAGATTATATTTAGTAATGTTTAATATATAATATTTATTTTCCATAATATTTTCAGTGCTCATCGTACGATACCAAAACGTGATAGACCTCCTCGTGTGGCAAGTGGTTCTGCTGGTCTATTACCACCCTATAATCGTCAACAAGCAGAGGGCCAAGAATTTCTTTATATAATAAATGAACATAATTATTCAGAATTATTTGTGGCATATGAGTGTTTACGTAGTGGAACGGAGAATCTAAGAATTCTTGTTTCTAATGAAAGAGTTCGAGTGATTTCCGGAGGTACCAAAGGAGTTGTAACCGAAGTCAGTCTAGCGGACTTATTATATTGTCAACCAATGCATAAGCTAGAAAGTAATGGTGTTACTTTATACTATATTGAATTAATATCTAGATCAGATTCAACAATAACCGTTAACATGGACGGTCCAGAACTTCTAAGAAGACCTAAAGTTCGATGTGACAATGAAGAAGTAGCCAAAAGAGTTAGTATATAGAATTTATTTATTCATTATTAATATTTAATATAATATATTTTAATTATAATAATAATATATTTATTAATATATTATTTTAATTTATTATTATTATTATTATTATTATTATTATTATTATTATTATTATTATTATTATTATTATTATTATTATTATAGGTATCGCAGCAAATTAATTACGCTAAAGGAATGCACGAGGAACGTAGCTTGACTCTTTCTTCTTCGGATAATATGTTAGATGATGTACAGTACTATAAGTAGTTACAAACAATTATATATGAACATTTATTTTGTATTTGACAAAAGTTTGGAATCACTATGTTTTTACAAAAAATTTTTATGGAAAATTAATGCATTAAAATATTTTCATTTCAATATTAATTCCGAAATAATTAAAAACAAATAAGTGATCCAAATTTTTGGCTAATAATGTATATTTTGTATGCTAATTTATTTTTTGGTTTTCTTGTATATTTCTTGCTTTTTTTTTTTATTCTTTTTCAATAACATATGTAATAATGCCTTATTACGCTTAAAACTAATTTGATAATAAGACTGATGCAAAACACCATTTCATTGCAAAAAAATTCGAATATAAAGGCAATTCAGACAATATTCTTTAAAAAAAATATTAAGTTATCGCACAGATAGCACATACATACATGTATAACACATTTTGTATATTAACGTACAAGTAAAATCAAGCAGGAATTCTGAAAAGAAAATACCAAATTTTTTTATAGAATGTATATATGTGTACACAGGCACACACGCGCGCACGCGCACACACTCACTCACTCACTTACTCATATATACACATATATATATATATACATATATACACATATATATATGATATATATATATATATATATATATGTATATATTTATATTTATATATACATTGTTGATGAGTGTAAGATATAATAAATTCATTTGTTTGGGATAAATACTACTTAAAGCTGAATAGAAATAAAAATAGAAAAAATAATACAAACCAAAGTTTTTATAGTAGTATAGGATATTTATTTTCTATATTAACATGTTTGATATCTTATAGATTATTTTTTCTTTGTGACTATAAACTATATATTTTTTATGTCATTCGTTGTATAAAGATAACATAGTTATATTATATTATATCATTAAGTATTATTAACCATACATTCTTCTTCTAATATTATGAAAATAAAAAATAATAAAAGAATATAATTTAAAAAATTTGTACAGATATGTAAAGTTCAAAATGATCAACTCTATTCAAATATAATTTTTATAAAACCAATGCCTATATATATATATATGTGTATAATAATTAACAAATAACAATCAACGTATTAACAATGTATACAACGATTATCTAGATTTGTTATACTTTGAAATTTTCACATTGTCAATGATATTTAATAAAGAAATCCTATTTTTGTTCGATAATATTGTTTTTTATTATAAATACAATGAATATAATTTTTCAACATATTTAAAGATTTTTTATAATAATTCCTTTACATTTTTTTCATGCATAGTCAACATTATTTTTCCTTTAAAGAAAAATCACAAATTTCTTATTTGCAGATAATATTATCAACAGTAAATATAAATTTCATAAATATGGCGCTTCTTACGATTACTTAAAATGTCAAACTATTCATAGCAATTTATTAAATAATATAATATAAGTGCAATTTGTTAATATTACAGAAGTTATTGAACGAAAAAAAATATTGATTTAGACATATTTTAGAAATTGTTTAAATCTAACGTAAATAACGAAAGAAAAAGAGATTCTTGATTAGATAGAAGAGTCATAACCTGTAACTATGGATGAAACTTATTTCGATGAAGGACCACCGGGAAATTTCGAAACAGCTACATTAGAAATTACTAAAGAACTTGATAGTAACGAATTTAACATTCAAAATGCTGTTTTTGCTGGTAAATATTTTATAGCATTGATTATAATATTTCTATGAATTTATTATCTTAATGAAATTAAGGTGATATAAATACTGATATTTTTTATTTCTTTCAATTTTGATCTTTTAGATTTTTGTGAAATTATCTTTTTATAATTTTAATATATTAATATATTCATTTTTTAATTTTTTAAAAGGTATAGATACTTCAAAAAAGAACAGAGAAAATGAAGCATATATTTCAAATCAAGTTCCATCAACAAGAGATGTATCTAATATGCCTTTCAAGCATATAGATACTCATTCATTTTTCTCTGATAGAAATGAAGTTGTTGATAGAGCATTAAAAGATTGTCAGGAAAGTTTGATAAATGAAGAAGAAAAGGATATTGTTGGAAGCTGGCTTTTGACAGAGTAGGAGATTTGATATAAGAAATTTTTATTGGATTATTATGTAATATATAGATTAATATTAAAAAATATTTATAGAATAAGTCTGTGGGATATTGAAAAGGAAAGATTAGTAATATTAACTAACAAAGCTATTTATTCAATAAAATATGATTTCATTTCCTTAAAAATATTAGAATATAATCGAATATCTTTATTGCAAATTGATACACTTGTTTCGGGTGAATTAGTTTATCCTCCTTCATCTCTAGCACCGTAAGTATCATTATAAAATTCACAAAAAAAATTTACAGTTAAATTATAGATAAAAAATTCATAGTTAGAATTCATTTTTTATAAATTTATGAACGATTTTTAGACGATTAAGTGGATTGGCTGAGGGTGTATCATCAATAATTCATTGTGCAGGTCGTCAAGAGTGGTCTTCTCTTGTTTCTTGTACAGGTCTTGCACAGTTTGAACCTAGGTACACTGTGTTTTTATGTAAAGCAAAGACCCCTCTTATTTTAAAAAGAATTGCTGTGCACTATTTTATTACTTTTTGTTAACAATATTAATATTTTTATATATTCTAAATTCATGTAATTATCTTTAAATAATTTTCCTTTAATTGAAATGCAAATTACATACTAAAACAACTTATTTATTTCATCATTATTATTTATTTTTATGCTTGCTAATTCTTGCTTAGTGAAAATACAATACTTATGTTTCAAATATATTTTTTATTTTTATGTTAAATATAATATAATATATTATATTTTTTTTTATGTTAAATATAATATAGATGTTAAATATAATAATTAAAATAAAAGTAATAATTGCTATACAAAATTTAAATTGAATTTTCAGGAAAAGACACATGTCTGGAATAAGATTGATGTGGAATAGAGGCAATCCATTACCATTAATAAAAAAATGGAATCCATTTGCAAAAGATATACCATGGCTTACTTATTCTAGTCATCCATTATTTTGGTACAAAGGTAAATGTATTTTATTTATACAACTATATCAATAATTTTTTGCAAAACTGATTATTTATAGGATCTGAAGTTGAGAAGGCAAAGTTCAAAGTTGAAGATTTCCAATTATGTATTAAAGATTTTTTGCCATCAGATTGTAGTGTAAGAAATGGACTTATTATCATAGAAAACTATTTTGGTGTAGGTGCATTAGTACATAACAGAAATAATTTAGGTTTCTTTAAAATTCGTGGAAAAGTTAGTTTTTAATCAAATTTGCAAAAAATTGTAATCTTTGACTTTTTAAAATTCATATTTCAATTTTTAAAGCTACAATTTACTATTTATAAATTTTATGGTATTTATAACAAAAAATATTAAAACTAAAGATATAATTATAATTTATCTGTAGAAAAACATAAATAGATCTCCGTTTACTTTCTAAGGATTTCATTGTGAAATTATTAACCATCTTATAAATTTTTATTGTATAAGATATAAATATTTTCACAGTACCTGGCTAACAAAAAACAAAAAATAGATATTAAGCATTTATATTATATTATGGTGATTCATTTCTTAAATGTAAAACTATGTTTTGTAATTATATATTGTAAAGAATTTTAACCTTAAGTTTTAACCTTTCTTTATAATAATAAATAAAAATAATTTATCTTTAAAATTTAAAAAATTTTTTTATTTTATTCTTTATCTTTTATAAATACGTATTTAGTTTATTTTGAAATCTCTATGTCAATATTATAGGTAATTAATATTACATAAAAATTTGCAAGTAATTAATTTTTTAAAAGTAAAAAAATGTTTTATGAAAAATATTTTATAGTCATTTAAATAAATAATATACATATATATATTAATTAAATTTATAATTATTTTTATTATTTATGTATATTCTATAAATAAGATATTTTTCTCATATATATACATATATATATATATATATATATATATATATATATCAAAATGATTGGTTATATATATATATATATATATATATATATATCAAAATGATTGGTTATGTCACGTATAATAGTATATATATATATATATAATTCCACCTGTTGATCTAATTTATTATAGCGTTCAGTTTTACTTAAAAAGTTATACAAAAGTACAAAAGAAAAGTATATTTCACGAGAAAATAGCGTTATTGCAGTTCCTAACTTAGTTTTTTTATTAATAAAATGATTAGCAATATAAATAAACATAAGAAACGTAATAACAATTTTTTGACAATTCTTTTGTACAATTTTTATAGTAATATATTATTTATTATTTTTATTTTTTGATATTTTAGATATTATAATTTAAAATGTAAAGCTCATGATTAAAATGATCTAATAGATGTGTCATACAAATGTATGCAATTAAGTATTTATGAATTTAACAAGAGTCAATTAATGTTATTAGATCATAAATGGACATTTCAAAAAAAAAGTATTATAATAGAAATGTATTACATTAAATCAATATCAAAGTTGTAAGATGTGTCTTCACCGTTTTAAATTACGATCCGTGTTTCTGATTGGATTTGGAATTGGTTTTCTCTTTGCAATATTTTTGTTTATTAATCAACATTTATTTTGCAACATTTCTAATTGCCAAAAATCTGCATTAAATTTATATTCTACAAGTAAGAATGCTCTTTTTAAATGGTTCATGTCTGATATATGGATCAACGAAGAGATTATTTTTCAAAGTTGGAATAAATCAACATATAGTGAGTGGTTAAATAATAAAAAACTGATATTAAGTAATATTGATATGGATATTTATCTTTATGGATCTGAAAAAAAGAAGCAATTAGAATCTAATTGGTTGAAATCACATGTTCACATCACTTGTGCTGTATTTGTAAAAAAAATTAAATTAGCTAGAGCTATCCAAAATACTTGGGGAAAACATTGTAATAGAATATACTTTTTTGGTCAATTAAAAGATATCAAAGTGCCTATTATAAATTTTGAAATAAAATTAGTATCCTCATGGCAACTTCTTTGTGAAGCTTTTAATTATATTTGGAGAAATAATGAAACTTTAGAATGGCTTATCTTTGTAAAAGATGATACATTAGTGATTCTTGAAAATTTACGTTATATGCTTGCTCCATTAAATCATACTCAGGATCATTATTTAGGTCATGCAATACTTCTATGGGGTCAACCATATAATGTTGCTAATGCAGGATATGTAATTAGCATGGGAGTTCTTAAAAAACTAATTAATATGTTTGATAATTCAAAGAAATGTATAATCAGTGGCAAATATTGGAAACAGGAAGATTATTATCTTGGTAAATATTTTATTAATCTGTAATATATCTCATCTAAGCTTTAAATAAATTGTCATTCTTAATTATTTTCAGCTAGACATTTGGCTTCTATAGGAATTTATCCTTCTGATACAAGAGATCAGTATCAGAGAGGCACCTTCCATGGATATTCTTTGCAATCTTTATTATGGGGTGTTGTTAAAACTAGTGCTTATTGGACTCGTGCTTTGTATCCAATAAAAAATGAGTGCTGCTCATTTATGTCTGTTACTTTTAATGTAGAAGAATCTGAAAAAATGTATACTTTTAGTTATTTATTATATAATTTTTATGTTTTAAAGAAGAAAGCTGTGTTTGGAAATAGAAAAATAACAACATCTACATCAGATGAAGATGTATAATTATTATATCTTATTGTAAAATTGTTACAATAAAAAAGAACTTGAAATTAATCAAATATTATTGTTTTCAGGTATGGAAAGTCGCATTAAAAGAAGAATTTAATATTACACATTTAAATAATATTTCTAGTGAAATGTATTATGAAATATGGCACTCAAAATATTCTGAACCAGAACAATTAATTAAGAATAATTATCAGATTAAAGATTCAGAATCTAAATAAATTCTTCTATAATTTTTATATAATGATGTTTTATCAATGTAATAAGTTTTTTAAAGCTATTTTGTATTAACATAATTATGTATTATTTGTTAATAATTTTAAAAATCAATATTTTCTGTATTACATTATATAGTTTTATAATTGTTGAAATTATTTAAACAATTGAATTTTTAGAAAATAACATTGTTGGAAATTTGAAAAGTTTATCAAGTTTTATATAGTTTATTAATGAGTTACATTGATGTGATAAATGTAGGAACAGCAAAGTGGTGTTGTTTGATAACTATTTCCGTTGTTACGCCATTGTTGCCTTATCTAACTAATTAAGAATTCATTAATGCTTATAACTCTAATAATAAAACTATAAATCCAATTTTAAATATATGTCAAGAATATATTGAAACAATCTTCATGTTTCTCTATTCTTGAAAGCAATGATGGGCACAAAAATTATTTGAAAGAATAATTTTTAATTGCAAGTGGATTATAATAGTATAAAGTACCTGATATTATATTTTTAATAAACATTATATATTATTATATGTATTATATGTATTACATTTTTAATGTACATTTTCATCTAATAATTATTGTGTAATATCTAATTCTATGACAATAAATTCTTAATTTTTTCAGAATCAAAGTTCTATTAATCTAGAAATTTTAAACTTGATATCAATCCCACTAATGACCTATATATTTCGTCGAATTTATTTATCAAGACAGATTTTAATTATCGGTTATCCGCTTCCTTTCAAGATGGTTATATAAAAGAAGAACTGTATTAATTCATATATTTTATGAGAGGAGACTTACTAAAAAGATTTTTTACTTTTTTTTTTAATTATAATATATCAAAGACATTAACATGTTGTGGAAAATTTTTTTCAACATTGCTATAATCATTTCAATTTCTAATCAATTTGTCATTGGAGATAATCTTCTGAAATCTGACATAACAGAGTAAGTACTTAGACTATAACAGAGTAAGTAACTTTCTATCTTTCTTTGACTTCTTTAAGATTGAATTTAATTATAATTTAAATTATTTAGGACTACTATCCCATTAAATGATATTTCAAAATTGAACTATGAACTTGAAGATATGAAGAATATAAAAAGTAAAACAAAACAGCTTTTATTTCCAGGAGGTTGTAGCAAGCAACCGGATTCACCTATAAATGGAGAAATAAGATGTTCTATAGATAGGTAACTCTTCATAAATTAATAACTAATTTTTTTTTATTATATTCAAATATTTTATAAATTTTTTTATAGTGGGTGTATTGCAACTTGTAAGCATGATTATAAATTTCCTAATGGGGTGACACAATTAGCTGTAACATGTATGAACAAAAAATGGCATATTCATGGCACAGATTGGATTTCTATTCCTCATTGCGAACGTGAGTTCCATTAAATTATAAAATCATGAAATTCTTTTAATTATAAAAAATACAACATGGATAAGTGTATTTTTATATTTTTAGCAATTTGCTTACCAGAATGTTTAAATAACGGGGTATGTATTACACCTCATCAATGTAATTGTCCTGAAGATTTTACTGGACCACAGTGTCAATTTGAGAAAAAACCATGTCTAAATTATCCTGCTCCAGTGCTTAATGCACATAAAACATGCAATTTACAGTATGTTCTAAAAAATTTCAAATTTGAATTTATTTAAAATATATTAAATATTTAATTGTTTCAATATCCTTTTTATTAGGTCATGTACTATATCTTGCATAAAGAATTTTACGTTTCCGGATGGTAGTTCCGTAACTAATCTTTTATGCAAAAATGGAAATTGGGAACCTACCAGAAAAGATTGGGTCTCAATACCTGATTGTGAACGTATGCTTTGAATTTTTTTTTATAATTTCTCTCAAATAATGTAATTTTGACCTGAGAACTTATCCCATAAAATTATAAATAAAAAAATGTTTTCATTTAAATGTTATAATCTATATTTATAAAACTTCCATATTTTTTTTTTATAGCTGTTTGTGAACCACCTTGTCAGAATGGTGGTAATTGTCTTCCATCGAATCTTTGTCAGTGTCCTCAAGCATATAGAGGATCTCATTGTCAATATTGTAAGTATAATTTAATTATTTTAATATTATTTGATTTAAATAATTGAATAATTAATTTTAATATAGCTGCTAACATCTGTAATGGAGAGAAAATGGGTTTCAATGGAGGCTTTTTTTGCTCAAATATAGATGATATTTATTCATGTACTATAAACTGTCCTACTGGAGTGGAATTCGAATTTCCACCAGCTTCTGTATACATTTGCAATTACGAAACAGGTGTTTTTATGCCTCAACCTATTCCTCAATGCAACTACAGTGAAAATATGAACATAATTTCTTTGGGCACTATATATAATTCGTATATAAAAGAAATCAATCATACTTGGACTTATCAAGATATTTTTAATCCTCATGCAAATCAATTTCCATTGATTCATGGCAATTATGGAATTAAAGAACATTATAATAATCATAAATCCAATATAACGAATATGGTAATAATTTAGAAACATCTTAAAATCATATATGAAATATTTATAACATTAATAGTTTATTAATTAATATTAACAATTTATTCTAATTAATAGATGATATTTAATTCTTTGGAAAATAATATGCTATTTATTGAAGAGAAGAAACCAATCCCAAAAACTTGTTTTACATGGAATGGAGTACACTATAAAACTTTTGATGATAGTATATTCACTTTTGAGAGTGAATGTTCTTATATTTTAGTACAAGAAGCACAAAATAGATTGTTTACTGTGACTGTAAATAACAGTCCAACATGCGAAGTTCAAGATTGTTTTAGAATTATTAAGATCTATATTCAGGATAAGGAATATATTTTGTTGCGAAATAAAGAAGGTGTTCCAGAATTTAGAACTCAAAAAAAATTGCTTCCAATTCCAGCACAATTGTCAACATTAAGAGTTGAAATGTCTGCACATTTTATCTTAGTAATATTGGATTCTTTAGGAATTCAGTTGAAATGGGATGGAGCTCTTATGCTACAGGTCGAAGCTGCCGAAAATATGTGGAATAAAACCGTCGGTTTATGTGGTAATATGAATGGAGATAAAATGGACGATTTAATAAGCAAGAATGAAAAACACACTAAAAGTGTTGCATCATTTGCAACTTCTTGGAGAACTGAGGATATTGGAGGCACTATTTTATTATTTTACAACATATAAAAACATTATACAACATATATTTCTTTAGTCGTGATTTTTAATTTTTATTTTTCAGAAACATGTGACAAATATCCAACAATTAAACATGCTTGCGAATCTGATTCATTAATCACCAAAGATGCTATTCAATTTTGTGCAAAATTATTTTCTGATTATCGATTTAAAGCTTGCTCCAATACAATTAGTGTTTCCGAATTACAAATAGCTTGTTTATGGGATTATTGTTCTTGCATGGATTATGATAGAAGGAAATGTGCTTGTAATACTATGAATGTATATATTAGACAATGTGCCCATAAAAAAATTATCTCTGTGTCTGGTTGGAGAAATAATGATACTTGTCGTAAGTTAATTTTCTAAAGTATAATTTTTTCAATATATATTATTGATAAAAAAATTACTAATCGTTTTATAATATTATAGCTATGACATGTAATAGTGGACGAATATATATGCCATGTGGTCCAAAAATAGAACCATCTTGTTGGACAGAAAAGGAATTAAATACAGAAAATTGTGAAGAAGGTTGTTTTTGTCCAGAAGGAACAATAGCTCATGAAGGAAAATGCATTTATCCTGATGAATGTCCTTGTAGATTACGTGGAAAACTATTTCAACCTGGAAAAATTGTACAAAAAGATTGTAATACTTGTACATGTTCTTCTGGAAAATGGATATGCACTCAGCTAAAATGCAGTGCCAGATGTGCTGTGATTGGAGATCCTCATTATGTTACCTTTGATGGAAAGCATTATGACTTTATGGGAAAGTGCAAGTATTATTTAATGAAGGATGATAATTATAGTATTGAAGGTGAAAATGTACCCTGTTCTGGTGCAATATCAGAAGTATATTTACAATATTTATATTATTTATAAATTATTATTTGCAAAATAGTATATCATATAAAGATTATAATTTTACTTACAGAATATGGGACTTATTCCTTCTAATGCACCATCATGTACAAAGACTGTTACAATTAATTATAAAGATACTTCCATGAAATTAAAGCAGCATAGACAAGTATTAATCAATGGAAATGAGTTAACAATATTTCCTACACTTATTAATGGCATTAGAATACGTATTGCAAGCAGTATATTTTTAATTGTTCAGTTGCCAAATGGTTTGGAAATATGGTGGGATGGAATTTCTCGTATTTATATCAATGCTCCTCCTGAATTTCATGGTTAATTAGTTTTCATTCTTCTTATCTATATGAAATATTACATATTTTTATATTCATTTTATATTTTGATTATTAGGCAATACTAAAGGACTTTGTGGCACATTTTCTGAGAATCAAAAAGATGATTTCATTACACCGGAGGGTGATATTGAAAACACAGCAATTTCTTTTGCCAACAAATGGAAGTGTGATGAAGTTTGTCCTAATGTTTTAGAAAAGGAATTGGATCATCCTTGTGATCTTAATCCACAAAAACGAGCTACCGCGAAACAATATTGTTCTTATTTATTTAGCAACATTTTTATTGGTAAATTATTTAAATTTGTGTAGTATAACAAATTTTTCACTTTAGCTATATATAATTCTTCTTTTTAGACTGTCATTGGTATGTAGATCCGGATACATTTTACAAAGACTGTTTGTTTGATATGTGTTCTTGTAAAGTTGAACTTGAATTTTGTCTTTGTCCTATATTGGCTGCATATGCAAAAGATTGTTCTACTGCAGGAATAAAACTTTTATGGCGCCAGAATGTGGAAGAGTGCAAAATTCATTGTTCTGGAAGTCAAGTTTATCAAATTTGTGGAAATAGTTGTACTAGGTACATATGATTCAATGTTAGTAAAATATAGATAATTGCAAGATATTTATAAATTTTTTTTGATAATATTTTTAGATCATGTAGAGATATATCTTTTCATCAGAACTGTAAACAAGATTGTGTAGAGGGATGTAATTGTCCAGAAGGAGAAACACTAGATATTCATGGAGAATGTATTCCAATTGGACAATGTCCATGTACTTATGGAGGATTAGAATTTAGTTCAGGACACAAAGAAATCAGACCTGGAAATAAATTTCCTGAACTTTGTACTTGTGCAGGTTTTACTTTTATAAATCTAATAAATGTTAACCTTTTAATTAAGTTGAATTATAATTTCATAAATTTTTTTAAATAGGAGGAGTCTGGAACTGTCGAGAAGCCATGCCAAATGAAATTATAAAATATCCAGCAGTCAAGAATTTATTAACTTCATGTTTAATAAGTAACCATCAAGAAATCACTGATTGTGTTCAGACAGAGCCTAGAACTTGTCACAACATGCACAAACCAATCCAGAAGCCATCAATTTGTAAATCTGGTTGTGTTTGTAAATCTGGTTATGTTTTAAATGAACCAAATGGTAATTGCATTAAAGAAGAAACTTGTCCATGTCACCATGGAAGTCAAAGTTATGAAGAAGAATCTGTTATACAAAACGAATGCAATACTTGTAAGTGTACTAATGGAACATGGAAATGCACGGATAGAATATGTGCAGGTAACATTATAAATAATATTTGTTCTATATAAACATTATAAATAATTATTTGTTCTATAAATCATTAAATAAAATTTATTTGTTGAAACTTCTACATTATTAGGAATTTGTTCTGTCTGGGGAGATTCTCATTACAAAACATTTGATGGTAAGATTTACGATTTTCAAGGATTGTGCGATTATATTTTAGTGAAAGGTTTCTTGAGTCAAGAAGATTGTTTCGATATATCTATTCAGAATGTTCCTTGTGGAACAACAGGGGTATCTTGTTCTAAATCAATTACTCTTACTATTGGAAGTAATCAGAGTTCTGAAAGAATTGTTTTAACCAGAGGAAAGAATCTTCCATTGGATAATTTTAAAAGAATCATTATGAGAACAGCAGGATTATTTCTATTTATTAATGTACCAGATATGGGATTGACTATGCAATGGGATAAAGGTATTTTTTTAATATGATAATTTTTAAATAATTAATATTTTTCTTTTCAATTAAGATTTTACAAAATCAATTTTCTTTTTTTTTAAAACTAGTATATATATATATATATTATATAGTATATATACTAATATATATAATACAATATATAATTATAATACTTTAATTATAAATTTAATGAAAAATTTAATGAAAAATATGACCTCGTAGATATATTTTTTGTATTCAAAAATATATTATTATAATTTTTTATTATTATATTTTTCTTAATATTTTAATGATATAGGTACTAGAGTATATATAAGATTAGAACCTAAGTGGAAAGGTCGTACAAAGGGACTTTGTGGTGATTACAACAATAATAGTGAGGATGATTTCAAAACACCTTCGGGTGGCATCTCAGAAGTATCTGCTAATTTATTTGGAGATTCATGGAAAAAAAATGAATTTTGTCCTGAGCCCAAAGATATCCAGGATCCTTGTATACAACATCCAGAAAGAAAATTATGGGCTACACAAAAATGTGGAATATTAAAATCATCGATATTTCAATCTTGTCATTCTGAGGTCGAAGTTGAAAGTTATATTCACAATTGCATTTTTGATAGTTGTAGTTGTGATACAGGTAATATATCACATTACAATTATATAAATTTATAAAAATAATTATAATTTTTATTTATATTATTATTTTTTTATTTTATATTATTATTATTCTAGGAGGAGATTGTGAATGTCTTTGTACTGCTTTAGCAGCATATGCTCAAGAATGCAATGCAAAAGGAGTTCCTATAAAATGGCGCAATCAAGAACTTTGTCCAATACAATGTGATGAGAATTGTAGCTCATATTCCCCTTGTATCACAACTTGTCCTCAAAAAACTTGCGATAATCTTATAATTTTGAATGATAAATCCCATTTATGTTCTCAAGATATTTGTGTTGAAGGATGTTCCATCAAATCTTGCCCTAAAAATCAAGTATACAGCAATGATAGTTATACAGAATGTGTCCCCAAAGAAATTTGTAAAACACCTTGTATTGAAATTAATGGGGTATAATTAAGATATTTAAATATTCAAGATTAAAATATTTTTCTTTTTCGATAATAATGATTTGTATTGCAGATAACATATTATGAGGGTGATAATATAAAGAATGATGACTGTCAAACATGCTATTGCAGTCGTGGAAAAGTGTTATGTAAAGGAGAACCTTGCACAAATATTATTATGCCAAGTACTATACCATTAGAGGAACCACAAAAATGTGTGAATGGTTGGACAGATTGGATAAATCAGGATCCAGCAATTAAGGGAAAGAAATTTAAAGATATTGAACCTTTACCTTCAACTTTAATTTTATCGAATGTTAAAGGATCTGCTATATGTGATAAGAACCAAATGATTGATATAAAATGTAGATCAGTAAATGATCATTTAACACCAAAAGAAACTGGTTTGGATGTAGAATGTAGTTTAGAATATGGTCTTTATTGTCAATCACATCTTAATCTCTCATGCATTGATTTTGAAATCAGTGTTTTATGTCAATGTTCACCAATTACCACAGAAAAATTAGATATATCGACTGCAACAGAAACAGATCTATTTGGAAAATGTAATATAGAATTTCCAAATAAACCTCATCCTACAGATTGTCATTTGTTTTATCAATGTTCTCCTGGATTAAATGGTAATGAATTTATAAAGAAATCCTGTGGAGAAAATATGTTTTATAATCCTCAAACACAAATATGTGACTGGCCAGCTACTGTCATATTAATAAGACCAGAGTGTTCAATGAAACAGATAACACCAAACAAGATTGACTGGACAAGTGACAAAAAGATTAAGTATAAAACTACTACATCTACGACTTTAGAGAAAAATATTATAATATCCAAAACTTGTAAAGAAGGTGAAATATGGAATGATTGTGCCATTAACTGTAACAAGGTTTGCGATTATTATAAATATATATTATTAAAGGAAGGAAAATGCAATGGTATTTCTGATTGTGTAGCAGGATGTGTTTCATTGGAGAAACCACAATGTCAACCAAATGAATTCTGGAGAGATGCAATGACTTGCGTGAATGAAGATGATTGCAGTTGTAGATCTCATAATGGGTATCCAGTTATTTCTGGTGCTATTTTAACGGAATCGGAATGTGAAATTTGTCAGTGTATAAAGAATTATTACACTTGTGATAAATCTTCATGTTTTACTGAAATTAACAATATGACCACTGAACAATCAAATACGCAATCATCGACAGAAACGATTTCTCCTTTATTTGAGATTCATACCTTCATAATACCGAGTACTGTTAGTCCACCATCTTATTGTATTAGCAATAATTTTGTTCCTTTAATTCAATACTTGGATAACCAGGTTTCTTTTGATGCTAGTACTATCAAAGATTCTAATTTTCAATCAAAAAATGCATTGTTGAAGAAAATTGGATTTTGGGAGCCTGAATATGATACTACAGATCAATGGTTAGATATAAAATTTCAGAAATCTGAACCTATTTATGGCATCATTATTCAAGGCAATACAATAGAAAATAAATTTGTAACCAGTTATAGAATATTATTTTCAGAAGATGGTCATTCATTTTCTTATGTTATGGATGATAAGAAGAAACCACAAATATTTAGAGGACCTATAGATCAATTCAAGTTAGTCGAACAGAAGTTCTATCAACCTATTGAAGCTAGAATAATTAGGATCAATCCATTATCTTGGCATAATGGTATAGCTATGAAAATAGAATTACTTGGTTGTCAAGAAATGATGACCACAGTGATTCCTTTGACAGAAACTGTTCCAATAATCACTACAACAATCACAGAAAAAGTTATAACACCAATGTGTGATGAGCCAATGGGATTGGATGATGGAATAATTTTTTCTGATCAAATTTTGGTATCCTCTTCTTCCACTGATTTATTACCAAATTTAAAATTATCTTCTCCAAAAATCTGGCATCCTAAATTACATAATCCACATCAGTTTGTAAAAATTGATTTTTTAGAACCTCGTAATTTAACAGGAATTGCTACTAAAGGTGGTGAAGGCACTTGGACTACAATATATAAAGTGTTTTATAGTAACAATGATTATCAATGGAATCCAGTTATGGATGATAATGGTCATGAAAGAGAATTCTTAGGTAATTTTGACTCTAATACTATCAAAAAGAATTATTTTGACAAACCGTTGAATGCAAGATATTTAAAAATACAACCAATTAAATGGCATGAACAGATAGGCCTCAAACTTGAAGTTTTTGGTTGCTTTTTGCCCTATCCTTCTATTAAAACAACAACTGAGAAATTAGAAATAATATCAATGACTACACAAACATTTGAAAAATGTAATGTGTGCGAAGGAGTGCAAAATGAAGATCAAATAACATGTAAATGTAAAGAATCTCTTTGGTGGAATGGAAATACTTGTGTTATTAAGCAGGAATGCCCTTGTGTAGTTGAACATATATTATATACTGTAGGTGCAATTTATGTAAACAAAGAATGTCAAGAGTGCATATGCACTTTAGGTGGCATTTCTTTCTGTCATCCAAAGAAATGTGAACCTTGCCAAGAGTTAGGAAAGAGACCAGTAGTTAATGAACTATGCAATTGCATATGTAAATCTTGTCCAAGTGGTACACGTCATTGTCCAACAAGTGATGTTTGTATTGATGACAATTCATGGTGTAATGGAATACAAGATTGTCCAGATGATGAAAAAGATTGTCCAAATATTACAACAAAACCTGAAGAAATTACAACAATGAAAATAGAAAGCACAACTATTATGTCAACTTCAGGTATTAAAAAAATTTTTAAGAGATATAATAGATATTTTAATAATTAATAATATTTTAATAATATTTTAAAAAATCTATTATCTCTTATTATTATTATTAAATATCTATTATTAAATTTTTTTATTGAAATTATTTAAAAAAGTTGTTTGTAAGATAATATAAAAAGTTATATCATTGTATTACATTAATATCTTATGATTTCTTTGTTAGATATCCCAATTGTATGTCAGGATCCAATTTGTCCACCAGGATATAAGATAATTTTGAAACGACCTCAAAATTCACTTTATTATACTAAATCTTATGTAAAAGAAGGAATAAAATCTCTTCATACAAAGTTATCAAGAAGAAAAGGATTAAGGTATATTTTTATCTTAGATATTAAATCTGATTCTATTTCAATTTAATAATAAATAATACAAAATATTTATCATCAGGAAATCTATGCAATATCATATAAAATATACTGAAAATGAGAAATCTAAAAATGAGATAGAATGTACACAATTCACATGTATGCCTATTAAACCATGGACGATTTTTAATGAAAATATATCTCAATCTTGTCCAAAGATATTTTGTCCACCGGATTATACTATAATTTACGAAAAGATAAGCATGTATAAACATCAAAAATGTCCTAAGTATTCTTGTAAGCCTCCAACACCAAAAGAAATTATTTGCAATATTACAGGAAGAACTTTTAATACATTTGATAAACTAGAGTATAAATATGATATTTGTAATCACATTCTAGCCAGAGATATGTTTGCTAATACATGGTACATCACAAGTGAGTCTTTTATATTAAAATTATTATAATCAAGTTTTTATATAAAATATTATTTTTAATCATATTTTTATAGTGGAAAAACAATGTGATTTACATACGAACCAGTGCAACAAAATACTAGTAGCGACTTTAGATGAAGATGTAGTTCTTTTATACCCTGATATGCATGTGGATATAAATGAATACACTTTTACATCAAACCAGATTAATAGAATTGATAACAAATTTCATTCTTTCAAAATATCAATTATAGGAAATGTTATATATTTGGTATCAAATTATTATGGATTCTGGATAATATGGGACACAAATTCAAATGTGAAGATAGGAATTTCCACAAAATTGATACGTCAAGTGGATGGTTTATGCGGATATTTTGATGGATATTCTATAAATGATAAACAATTACCTGATGGAAATCAAGCTCGAAGTACTGTAGAATTTGGAAACAGTTGGGTTATAGAAGGAACTCCGGAATGTGATCCACAGGTTTGACAATGTATATTAATATTAATATTACAAAATAATAATAATATTTAATAAAAACATATTTAATTTTCAAGATCTGCCCATATCAGTTACAAACTAAAAGTTGGGATATCTGTAACATAGTGAAGGATGCCTCATTAACAGAATGTTCGAATATTGTTAACATAGAAAAATTTATATCCAGCTGTATGGAGAACATATGCAATTGTCTACATAGTAATCATTCATACGATGATTGTCGTTGCCGTTTATTAACCAGTTTTGTTACTGAATGTCAAGCTGGTGATTTAAATATAGATTTATCTACTTGGAGAAGTATTCATGATTGTCCAGTTATTTGTGCTTCACCTCTTGTTCACAAAGATTGTTTCAGGTATTTTAAGATTCATTGATGAATAATCTAATATATTTTTATTTGAAATATTAATTTAATATATTTCTATGAAAAATTTCATTTTAGAAACAAATGTGAAACTAGTTGCAACAATTTACAACAGATAGATCCCTGTCCAATAATGCAGGGAGTATGTTTTTCTGGTTGTTTCTGTCCTGATGGAACAGTGCGTAATGGAGATGAGTGTATGCCTCCTACATATTGCAAAGATTGTATTTGCGAATGGCTAGGAAATTCCAAATTTATTAGTTTTGATAGAAAAAATATTAAATTTGATGGAAACTGCACATATATTCTCTCTAGAAATATTGTTGAGAATGCAAAAAGAAATAAAAAATATAATTATCAGATTTTGGTATCAAATAAAATTTGTGACACTGGATCATGTACAGAGGCGATTATAATTCTTTATCAAAATCATGTAATTAAAATTAAAGAAAATATACCTAACCAGGAATTTGAAATAGAAGTGGATGATTCAAAAATATATGAATTACCTTTTAATACATCTTGGTTGATTTTGGAACATACATCTTTAAAAAAACTGCGATTATTAATACCATCTATCCAATTAGAAATCATTAGTTACCAACCCAATTTCGCATTTAGTTTAAGTGTACCTTCACATATCTTTGGAGGTGCTATTGAAGGTCTGTGTGGTAATTGCAATGAAGATCCAGAAGATGATTTAAAACAGCAGGATGGAAAAGTATGATCATTTTACAATAAACAGAAAAAATATATAATTAATAATTATAATTATTATTTATTATTGATTAAATAGGTCATAGAAGACATGCAAGATTTCATTACAAGCTGGTTGGTCACAGAATCTCCAAATATTGATTTAAATACAAATATATGTGTTTTTAATAATCAAAGCAAATGTATTTCACCAGATCAGGATTTATGTCAAAAGTTATTAAATATAGCAGATTTTGGCTTATGTCATAATCTTGTCGATCCAATGCCGTATTTCATGGCTTGTAAAGATAACATGTGTTCTGGAGGAAGCTATTGTAATAGTTTTGAAGCATATTCAAGGAAATGTCAACAAATGGGAGTTTGTTTAACTTGGAGAAGTAGCGAAATATGTCCTTATATTTGTCCTTCACGTAAATATTTTTTTTTTTATTATCCAAATTAAATATTATCATCTAAATCAATGTTTATTTTTCAGATTTAGTATATCAACCTTGTAATTCTACTTGTAAACAGACATGCGATATGATCAATGAAATGAATGATATTATGTGCATAAAGAATTATGAGGAAGGCTGTTTTTGTCCTCAAAATTTCATCTTTCATAATGACACTTGCATTTCAAAAGAAAAATGTTTGTTATGTGATGAAGAAGGCCATATAGAAGGTGATATATGGTTTCTAGATATTTGCACAAAGTGTACTTGCAACAAAAAGACTGTTAAATGCGAAAAAACCGAGTGCCCTGCAGTGGAAACCATTTGCGAAGAAAACATGATACCTATGATCATTAATGGCACAGAGAAAGATTGTTGTGCTAAGTATCTTTGCATTCCAAAAACAGTAACTACTATGACACCCTTCTGCATTGAACCTCAAATTCCTGAGTGTGGCTATGGACAAATTATAAAAGCATTCGTAGATTCGGATGGATGTAAAAAATTCATTTGTGAATGTGTACCATCATCAGAATGTCCTATACTCAATGAAATTTCATTAGAAGTTGATCAACTGCAACCTGGTTTTATACAAGTAACAAACACCTCTGGTTGTTGTCCAAAATTTATGACTATTTGTGATCCTCAGACTTGTCCTTCAGCACCATCTTGTCCAGAATATCACGAATTAAAAATTGATATAAAGAATGCTTGCTGTAATATTTATAAATGTGATCCACCAAAAGATTTGTGTTTATATAATATTGAATTCGAGAATAAAATAGAAATGACAGAACATATAGTGGCAAAAAAACTTGGAGAACAATGGATGGATGGAAAATGTACTTCCTGTATTTGTGAATCTTCTGAGAAAGGTCCTAAACCTACGTGCTTTACAACAGAATGTCTCAGAATTATGGATCATCCAGATATATCTGACTTCGTCATAGAAGAGATCCTTATAGAAGATAAATGTTGTCCTAATTTTAAAAGAACAGCTTGCAAAGATGGAAATAAAATATATAAAGTTGGTGAAATTTGGCAACCAAATTTGGAAAATTCTTGTAGCTTCATAGAATGTCTCAAAGATGAAAATGGTATTCAAAAACAAATTAAGATGCAAGAATGTAACACTACTTGTGATCTTGGCTTTGAGTATCAACCTACAGATAATAAAAGCACTACTTGTTGTGGAAAATGCGTTCCAATAGCTTGTGTGGTTTTCAATGAAGTAATAGATGTGGGAAAAGAATTATTTTCTTCTGATTTTTGTACCAAATACTCTTGCAAATCCAATAATAAAAGTATTTATATAGAATCTTTCACAGAAAAATGTCCAGAGATAGATCCTTGGGAAGAAACTGAATTTGAGATAGAAAAACAATATATACCAGGACAGTGTTGTCCAAAATTTATTAAAACTGGTTGCCGTCATAATGGCATTATATATAAACTTGGAGAAAAATGGAAGTCTATAGATGATAAATGTGCTACAGAAATTTGTGCATTGGAATCTAATATAACGAAATATAAGGAAATAGAAGTTTGTAATAAAAATTGTACTCCTGGTTGGATATATGAGGAAAAAGAGAATGAATGTTGTGGACAGTGTAAACAAGCTTATTGCATGATTGAAGATATGTTTTATAAGCCTAATACAACATGGTATTCAATTGATAACTGTACTATTTTTACTTGTATAAAACAAGGAGAACAATTAATTATTAGCAGCAGTTCTGTAGTATGTCCTGATGTAACTGATTGTCCAGATACTTTACTTTACATGCAAAATTGTTGCAAAATGTGTAATTTAACCTCATACAATCATAAAATTGAGTCTTGCGTTGCTAATGTTTTGGAGGAACAAAATACAATTGGTATGTTTAGTATTAAACATCGAGTACATGGTCTTTGCAAGAATTTGGAACCTATTGATGGAATTACAGAGTGTCATGGCATATGTGAATCTAACAGTTATTTTGACACAGGTGAAAAAAAATAATATACTATCCGAATAAATAATCACGAAACAAATTTATTTGTCATATTTAGAATATTTTTTTTCTTTAAAGAAAAATAATAAAGAAAAAAAAATAAATTATAAATTTTTATAACAAAAAATTTTAATAAGGAAAATGTGATTATTTATTATTGTTATTATTTATTCAAAAACTACTGTAGAATATCATATATACTAAAAAAATTTTTGATAATCATTCGATTTTTTTAATTATAGATAATTGGAGTCAAATAGTTAACTGCCAATGTTGTCAACCAACAGAATATAAATCTCTAATTATTGAATTAATTTGTGAAGATAATAAAAAATTCAAAAAACAAGTTGCTGTGCCAGTTTCTTGTACTTGTTCAACTTGTATGTCTAATGAAAAGATTTACAAGAGAAGAAAAGATGGAGTAAAAGGCTAATTAACAGGTTAAACGACTAAAAATATCATAATTAAGTTAATATATACATTTAAACTTCAAAATAAACTCAAAAATACAAAAATATTATTCGTTGATTTTATTGAATGTACATATTCATGTGTATATATATTATATACATATATTATTTTAATAATATCGGCATTCTCATATTACAATTCTTATTTTCAGAGCCATACTAAGTACAATAAAATCTAATTCAGTCTTTCTTATCAAGACTTATGACCTCGAATTTTTTTTGTTTGTTTGTACTTCAAAATTTGAATATTAAATAAATTTTTAAGAAAAAAAAAAGTTATTTATGGAAATATTTTAGAGCACAATATTAAATTTTTAAATATCAGAAAATATATGTAAATTAAAAATTACAATTTCTCTCATTTTCCACTGGTCATTGAAATCATCAATTATTAAACAGAAAAAATTCAAATTTTTTAGTACCATTTTTACCAAATTGCAAATCTCAAATTGCAAAGTTCTGATTTATTCGATTTGTCACGAATACAAAAATAGGACTTATCAAAAATGTTTTAGACTAGTTTTCAAAAAACCTGAGCTATCGAATTATCATCTTAGAAAACGGTACTAACGAAGAAATACAAATAATTCGTTAATAACATTAAGCCAAAAAGAATAAAAAGCTATATTACATTTTTTATCATCGTATGGCATTAGACTGCAAACATAATCAAACTTATAAATATTATGAATATCTTTCAGTAACAAAAAATTATTGATTTTTTCTTATGTACGTGTATATATGTGATATAATTTATTTTTTAACATTTTCTCTTCTTCAACGAATAATTATTTTGAACAACAACAAACGCACTTCAATATAATATTTCTCTAAGTGCACAGTATTTATAGATAGATATTATTGATTCCAAAAACAGGATAGTAACTATAAATAGTTTTCAAACATTACAAAAAAGAAAGGAAATAACATTTTTGTTATATTGTTTTCATTTGGCGTAACAACGCACTCTCAAAATATACAAATAGTTATATTGATATTGATCTAAATTAATTTACATACATGATTCCTACATTATAATTTTATAGAATTGATTGATTGTATTCGATATATTCAATACAATGAAATTTTTTTCTTTTAATTTAATGTTATATATGAAATTGATATGCAATTTTTCATGCATTTTTAATTTTTTTATATTTTTTTCGTTGCAAAAGAAATTAATGTCAATATATATTTTAAAATAGAATTCTCACGTACAGAAAAATTAGATTTCAATCAATAATGCACAGATTTTGAGCATTTTATGGAAGAAGCGTTTTCGAAAATAAAATTTAATATGAAATACAAATTCTATGTAATGATGAACAACAACAATAATGATAATAATACATCTCCTTATACTAATAGAAATAAACATAACAATCGTTCACCTTCATCATCTTGTATTTATATAGATTTGTAATTATAATGATTATTTTCTATTTTTCTTTTTGTTAAAAGAAGTTGCAAAAAACAATGATCGCATTTTTTTAATAATCATTAAATTCAGAAATGTATTTAATGATATAGAAATGAATATAATGAATTCTTCAAGAGCAACTTATTTCTTATACTATATTTAACAATAATTTTTAATTAGTATAAGCATATTGCTCTAAAGAAATCACAATACTGCATAAAAATTAATAATGAAAAATGATTTCTATCATATCGAAACAAGGGAGATATGAATTTTAAATGTTTAAATTCAAATTAGAATATCAATATTATTGTATATAATAACCGATTAGTGAAAAATTAGATCTATTATAAGTTTTTAAAAATTAAAATCCATTTTTTCCCGTGTTTCGAAGATTTTCGGAAACAATTAAGACGCCTAAAATGAATTTCCCATGATACCTGTTATTACCAATGATAATGTCAATGATTCCATTAACCTGTTAACTAGAAAAAAACAATATCATCAATATTTTTGACTTAAATTTAATTAGTTTAATCATAAAATATACGTTATCAAATTTTAATTTTCAAAAGATAAATCAAATTAATTTGTCTTGAATCAGATTTACTAAAAATAATATAAGTTATTTGTGCAAATTTGTCAAATTATCAAACCATCAAATTAACAAACCAGTTAACAGATTAATAGTAACGAGAAGCTGACATAATCTTACTTTTGGAGCATTCTGAGTCTACGTAATTGACTCATTTAATCCAGCTTCACGATCCTCGCCTCCGTGTATGTGTGTGTGAATGTGTCGACGAAGGTACAGACAGACAGTTTAGGCTGTTCCTCGCGTACGTAGGTACGCTACCTGAAAGGAGGAAGGACTACTTTTTGCTACACTTATAGAGCACACAGCAGCGTACAACGTGCTGTGATACCTATTTTGCTACCTTCGACATGTTCGATTGGACCTGGCCGGCCGGCATGGCCCCAAACTCGGAAATGCGTTCTCTCCCGGCGTATGGACTCTCTCTTGGACGGCGTTGTTGTTCTTATGGTTCATTTTCTTTTTTTCAAAACAGATGCAATTTCAAGACTCGCCGCAGCATGCGAGCTATTTGGCCCTTTACTCAGGGGCCGTGAGTAAGTCCTAGGCCAATTCTCGTTTACTCTTTGGATCTGTATAGAACTTGGACTCGCTTTCATTGTTTATGCTTAAAGATCGTTCGTGAAAGTGCTTGCTTAGCAAATATACCACTGCTTCATACGTAGCCATAATAATTGCTGTATTTGGAATTTGTCTAATTAGATGAGTACCAAGACCACGATATAGACCATGAAATCCTTCTTCAGCGTAGACTGTGCTCAATGTTTGCCAGAAAGTTTGGTATTTCGTACCTTCCTCTCTAAGTCTCGTCCTTGCTACTTCTGAAACAATAAAAATAATTTTAATTAATATAATTTAATTTAATTATGTCAAAATTATTATGACAAGTGAAATTATTGATTTTTGATTAGAATTATTTTAAAGAAATTAAAATTTGAAAATATAAAGAACATAGTGTCGCTAAATAATAAAATTCTTCTCTTAAAAAAGAAGTTATTTCTCCAATCAATTCTTTTCTTTTTTTGATACATTAGTCATTCATATGCGTAATGGAGATGAGTCGTACTAGTGTGCAGGATGTTTGCAAGAATTATAAAGATTTTTGCAAGTAAAGAAGTTTGTGCAAACTGATGCTTTACTCTTGAACCACAGCCAACTCGCTGAGCAATGCCTTAAAAATAGAGCTTAATTGAAGTAGGAAGCAGAAGCCTTGCATTTTGTGATGGCAAAATTGCACAATACAGCCAACCTTACCATGGGGGTAAGCGATGGTGGAGGCAATCGTTTTTGAGAACGAGCCAGCCGCCATGAACTCTAAGAAATCGCGCAATGTTTTTCGATCTGCATTGGGAGCCTTGTATGTTGCTAAAGAGGCCTTCACAGCCTCGTAGATCACAAAATGTATCACAGTCTCGCTTATTCCTATGTAGGAGGCCATAATGCCTTTGTAGAATCCCAGGATACCCTGAAAAAATAACATATAATTTTAATTTGAATTCTATCAATCATTCAAATTGTAACCCTAGATTCCTATGAAAGGATTATAATATTGTTTAATGTCACTAATTGTTAGTTTTGAATAATTCAAAACATCCAACCTACCAAGCTATAATTGAATGATGAAATAATAATTATTTAAATAATAATCTAAAATAATGAATTTGAATGAAAACATGATATTCTTAATACATATATATAATCATATTTTATGATAAATTTGATAAAATAAAATTTTTGTTTTATTATACGCAAGAAATTAAAAAAAATCAGAGTATCACAAATTTAAAAGAAGATATCGATCAAAATATGTATTCGTAATACATATTTTGTTGACAAAAGATTAAGATATGCTTGCCTCCAACAAAGAAATTATCTGAAAAATATATATGGGATATATTTTCAGAGATAAGACATTAAATTTCAAGAATATGCGATATACTGATACAATTTATTATCAAATTATCGCATTGACTTCTCTTAGTAAATACTCATTTATTTTACTTTTGGATTCGCAAACATGCGATAATAAAAGTTTCCGTGATTTAAAACTTATCACTGAATTTATAATAAAAAAAAATTACGATATTGTAATAATTAATTTCTGTACGATAAATATTTCTCAAAATATTGATTTTTTTTATTTGAATGAACAATCCTCTGATTTTCATAAACAATACAGATGAAAATAAGAGTCACAAATAGATGTGATTAAACAATATAAGTGAAAATGAATATAAACATTGGAATGAAAAAAAAAATTATAATGAATGAAAGGTTTTTCTGCAAAAAATTTAATACCTAATAAATCTTATCGCCGTATATATACGCATGTTATGTAATTATATTAATATAATTATTTAAAAATTAATTATAAATTTTGCTATGTAATTCTCTTTTTTCCTTTTTAACTATAATAACTATTTAACTATGTTATATTTAATTTTGCAACTATTATTTACAAGAATTATTTTCTTATTTATTTAAATGAAAAATTAGAAAAATTTGAATTCTACTAAAAATGATAGTAATTTAAATTCATAAATAATTAATAAATATTTGAATTATTTGTTAAAATATATCTCTTATATTTTATTATTTTATCCTATTTTTATATAATATTCTCAATTTCATTGTATTATTTTATCCTATTTTTATATAGTATCTTAATTTCATTCTATTATTTTATTCTATTTTTATATAGTAAAGAAAAACAAAATTAATGTAACCAAGGCACAATTACAAATGTGACAAAATGACGTACAATAATTCAACAAATCAACCGTGAAGAACGATGTTGTTTTCTCATCCACGAGATATTTTCGGCACATTTTGACTATTTGTAGATTGCAGAGACAATTTTAAATCTGGCTCTGCTGCAATTGCGATGCAAATGTCTGAAGAACGTAATCGAATAATAATAAAGAAAAATCTCAATTCGATAACTTAAATAAATTTTATCTATCTTAATAGTTATCCAAAGAATCATTATCCAAATTGTTCAAAGATTAAGAATTATATAAAAATTGTAATTTTATTATTTTGTATGAAATTATATAAAAATTATAGATGTGAATATTTTAATGCACAGTTTCTATATATGTACGATTGTAAAAATATCCTTGGCTGCCAGATTGGCTTGTTCATTGTACATCACAACAATTACAACATTGAATATTGACTTTTGATTGACAAAAGTTCCAAACTTTGTTCTTTTTTAAACTATAAACGATAGTCAGATTTATCAATAAAAAAATTCTCAAAAAATTCTTAAATTAATAATTGAATTATAAAAAAATAAAAAAATAAAAAAAATATTTCGACATTCACTCTATTCTATTTATATTTGTGATCAAACTTTTTCATCCTTATTCTCTCTCAGTTTCAAAAAGGAACTATATCCTCAAACATATTCTGTTTCCTAAAATCAAAATAAGTTCATATAAATATTTTACTATCTAGGATTACAATTTAATCTTATCTCCAGAATATTGTATAAACTACCTAATCAGGTGAATTGATGATTACATATAAAATTCAAAATAATTCAAAATATAACAAAATCTATTTTACTATATAGCTATATATTATACTATATAGCTGTATACCAGCATGTTTAACTTTAAGAGTAGAAAAACTTTCCAATGATATGCTACTGATCATATGCAATGATATAATGGATTAAAAAAATCTTCCAAGATGTTCCAATATGGCATGTTTCATGGAACGAAGAGTTTCTTTCCTCAAAACAGGATTTTCGTACCGATTGTCGATATATCCTTTGCATACATTCCATCGCAGTGATTTTGTTGGTTCGATGGTCCAGTTGCAGCCTGGTCTTCACGAACCAAATAGGATTTGTCAATGTGCATGCGACGAAACCTGAAAAATGAATCTATGTGTTTTTAATCCAAGTAATATGTGAAGGAAAAAGGGAGGGATTGTGTGTGTAGCGTACTGCGACTGTCTGAGCTCTCTCGTCAATTTACTGGTTTTCTAAAGTTGTTTCCGAAAGATGATTTTTGAAGAATCAGATTGACGACTTATCTACCTAAGAAAAATTAATAAAGCTAAGTTAAAAAAATTAAAAATATTTTATATTCCTACTATTAAAAATAACGAAATTTAAAATTGCAATAATTTACATGTTTACAGTATTCTATCAAAAATATGATAGTTGGTTTGAATGTTATGTTTACATTGAAATCTCGAATACTATAAAAACTTTACTAATTAATAAAAAATTCTTGTTTACAAAAAATAAAGCAGTTATAACCATCATTATAACTGATGATTTAACCTTGTACCAACAAATTGTAATTCAATAAGAGTTGCGCCACCAATCTAACAAACAATAAACAGATTCGAGCCAAGAAACCGATTGGTCGAATTCTTTTTCGCGATTCCAAATCTAGTTAACTGTTGGCAAAAATTCTCTGATTGATCCTCCGATTTCTGTAAACATGCCAACTTCTAAATTTATCGTAGTTACCAGACAATCTTGTTGTCAACTAAAATCAACAAAACAAAACTGGATGAAGTCAGAAACAAATTTATATATTCGATATTCATAATTCTTGTTGATGAATAAATGAAGTTATATTCAATTCATATATTTCTAATTTATCTGAAATTAGAAACACGATATAGAAAACTATATTGATTACAGAGATGCCACAAATTAGAAAAGGCGACAAATTACCTAATATAATTTTGTACGAAGCCGTACCGGAAAATGAAATCAATATTTTAGATCTAGTGTCTAATAAGAAAGCTATTATTTTTGGAATTCCTGGAGCATATGTTCCCGGATGTTCTAGAGTCCATTTGAAGGGATTTATTGAAAAGTAAAAATCATTAATTATTTTTTTAAACTTTGTGAAGACTTTTAGAAGAATATAGAGAAAATATTTAAAAATTTTAAATTAAATATGTAATATCAATGATATAATTTAATTTTGGAATGCATAAAAATTGCTTTCATAACCTATTTTTGAATTGGATGATTTAGATCAACAGACCTGAAATGCATGGGCTTTCAAGAAATAATCTGCGTGTCCGTGAATGATCCGTTTGTGATGTCTGCTTGGGGAGATGCCAAAGGAGCAACTGATAAAGTAATAGCAACAATTATAGAAATTTTTAAAAAATTTCTAGAATTATCTTCAAAACAAAAAAAAATCGATTGTTTTTATTTAATAAAGTTAACTAGTAACAAATATAATACATATATAATACAAAATTAATTTAGGTGAGAATGTTAGCAGATCCTATGGGATCTTACACCACAGCTATTGGAATGGATGTAGACATTCCAGAATTGGGAGGAAGAAGAAGTAGAAGATACTCAATGGCTACCGTAAATGGTATTGTAAAGGAATTATTTATAGATGCACCTAACGTAAAGTTTATATGTTTACAGACAGAAGATTTACCTACATATTGTACTTGATTATTTTATTAAAATAAATATGTTTAATTTTTAGATTGATGAAAAATTTTAAATGATCCATTTAAGTATAAGATCCATAAGTATTATACATCACCATAATGAAATTACACATGCATTCAAGGTTAATATAAATGAACAAATGGCAATTATAAGAATTGTCATTGGTTACTAAAATAGACTTTGAACGAGCGTAGCGCATATTGTGTGGGCGGTATGCGTGTACTTCAATGAAGCACGCAAATGGTTTCCCACGTGGGGTACTCGTACACGTCGTTGTAAATGCAACGTGATTCTATCGTAAACACGTTTCATTTATTTTTATCCCACAACATTACAAATCAATAAGATTACGAACGATGAGTATTCGTTACTTCCGTAAATTATTATAGATTTATCTTATCGTAGTAGTATACATGTATATCATGTTGATTTATAAAAAAATAAAATTCTTGCTACGCAATAATTCATCCTCACCTTTATTTCAGTTATATATTTAACATAGATATATAAATAAAATGTACATTTGCAGTGAAATTTATTTTTATTTATTGAATATTTTCTATTAATTAATATTTATGTATTTCAAACAATTAATTATTTCAGAAAATATTAATTTTTAAATAATTTTAAATTGATGACCTGATTTATGAATTCCTGAGTTTATCATTCTTTCGAGCGGATTTAATAAACGGATTCTTAAGTTCAACAGGAACCTGGTGGAGGTATTGACTGTTTCTGTTTGACCTACCTCACTGTGGAAACACTAGAACCGCAGTATATCGATTCCAAGCAAAGGATTCCACGATGACACACTTTAAATCTGCCTCTTAGATTTAAAGATAAAAATATTAATATTAATTTTTCAGAATATCATTATAATAATAGAAATAATAGATTGATATATATTAATTCTGTAATATTTTTAAATTCAAAATTCCAGTATTCAATATATTTCAAATATAATCTCAAATATATCTATTTCATATATCTCAAATATAATCTTTCATATATCTCATATATCTCAAATATAATTGCGACACCACATTGTATGTTTCAAATATTTCTTTAATCTCAATATTATGATTATATATTTTTAATATTTGAAATATCCAAATCTTTGATATTTTTTATTTAAATGCTTAAATAATAGATAATAGATAGATTAATATTAGTATTTTGAAATTTAAAGAATGCGTATGAAATACTTGCGTAATTTTATAAATGTTCACAAGCAATGCACTAGTGATAAACATTGTATATTGTTTATGAATTAAGTCAATACGATGAAATATTTATTGTGAATAAACAATCATATTTTTAATTTACAAATTATTTTTGCTTTTCATTTTAAAATAAATATTGTGAAAAATCCCTGTAAAATAATTTAACCATAATTCGAAATTTTTCGCAATCATTTTTGCTAAAAATTTTCATATTGTATAATTTAAAAATAAATTTACATATATGAAAAATATCAAAAGAATTTATTCAAAAAATATTATTCTTATTTCAAAAAATAGCAAAGAATAAATTGAAAATGAAAAAAGACTGAAAATTGAAGTGAGAAAACAATGCTTTCATTAATCAAGTAGAAGTGATTTTTCATTGAACTCCATTGAAAAGATCCAAGAATCTTTATAGCAGTCTTCTATTTTCAAACATATAATTTCAATGATAATTCTTGTTGATTATTTATAAGCAATGAAATAAACAACTTAAAAACTTGGTTTTCTTCAATGATGATTTATTGTAAAATAGTTGATCTTTATTATTAGATTTGATTAAATTATAATTAAATTTCCGCTGCAATTATTGAAACAGTAAACATAATTTATTTTATGGAAAAAAAGTATAAAATGAGAAAAAATATAATTTAATTTTATATAAAATATAAATTAAAATAATATGAAATATTAAATATAAAAAAGTTGCAAATAAAAAATATTTAATTCAATATATAATAATAATAATTATTATTATTATTGTTATTAGTCTAATCAGGCAGTGGTTAAAAACATTTCTTTTTTTATCTTTCATTCATAAAATTGTATAATAAAATCGTGAACTAAAGACATATTGTTTTCAAAAGATTCAGATGAAAATAACACGCAGAAGATATTAATCTCTTATATGTTTCTTGCTGCATACAACGTTGATGTAAGTATAAATAAGCCATAATTGTCCTAATAGCGAGTGTCTCAAGGTTAGTGGTACTTGAATACAATTCTACGTATAAAATAGATCTTCAAGAATTGAGAATAATAGGATCTTTTGCATAGTTGAAAGCAAAATTAAAATGAGAATGATTTAAAATTTTGAAGAAATGTAAAATATTCACTTTTTGAGAATAATATACAATAAGAAAATAAGCTCCATAATTTTAAATCGTTAATATATTGTTAAACTTCTCATTTAACAAAATCCTATTTATTAAAATAATTTAAATGACAAAAAATAGATTTGTTTAATCTAAACAAAATAATATTGTAAAGAAATATTATATCATATCATATTATATAATATAATATTAATGTTTCTTAGAAAGGAAAATTAAAATTAAGATAATAGAGAGTTTAAAGAATAAAATACCGTTTTCAAATTGTGAGAAAAAGTAGGTCACTAGTCAAGATAACCAAAAAGCCGTTGGACAACTACATGATCGAACATGTTTAATCTAAAGAAAGAAAGAAAGAAGAAATGTGGACCACTTGATGTGATCAATCGAAATATATTTTAGTGTATTTTATTTTTTTTTGATCTATTTAAATTATTTTTCTTTAGAATTAATGTCTAGATCATTTCTTTACATATTACTGACCTCATACAATGCGTTTATTGAATGCTTCGAATATTTAAGAGCACCCCTGCAGAGAAATCAGTATCTACAATAATATGCAATATACGTATATATAATCCAGAGGTTGAAGTTCAGCCCTCTTCTGATAAGCACTATCCATTTAACAGACTATGTAAACACTTCAATTAATTTGAATTACATATACATCATAATCTCTGAGAACTAAAAAAAAAAAACCGCTCGATACATCATTCAATATCAAACAAGCAATTTTCATTAAGACAGTTAATTTTTCATTACGTAAAAATTTATAAAATAAATTAACGATAAAAACACCAGTGGAAATGTTACAAGGAATTTTAAATACAAATTAATATAAGTATTTTTAATATGATATTTAAATGTATGCAAATTATTAAAAATACAGAATCAAATTAAATCAAGTTAATCAAGTTAAATTGAGTTATCATATTACAAAAGATCAGAAATAATGAAGATTAAAAATATTTGTGGCAATCCATTCAACCAGATAACAGCGAATGACACGAGATGTGACCCTACTAAGTTCCTTATCAATGGTCAATTTGATTGTTCCGGGAGAAAAGAAACGAACAACGCTATTCAGCGCTTTGACTAAATAATGCTTTGCTTAGATCTTTATATATTTATGTATTGTCTTTTCATAGTCCATATTCAATAATGTTATGTTCAATAGTACAATTTTATATTGTACTTATTTTTTTAATTTTCGTTAATCATCAGAAAGTTTTTTAATTCATATTAAATCAATAATAATTGTTAATTTAAATAATATTAAATATTTGAAAAATATAATATAATTGAAAAAATATAATGTAATTGATTTTATTTGCATTGATATAGTAATATTTTTATACTTTATGTATTAAATTAACATTCATATAATCACTTTTACACAATAAACATTAGTATATTTTTCTATTATTTCTTTTGCTTCTTTACTTTAAGAGACACACGTCATACCATAGCAGTGGCTAAAATTATTCACATTCAAATGCGGTACAAGAACCGATGAAAATACGAGTTTAATCGATAAAAGCGGAAGTAAAATGTTCGACTTACCGGCGCAGAATGCGGAGAATACGTGTACAAGAGCGGTATCCGGGGCAAAGATCGCGTTAAATGCGACTTTGCTTTTTGAGTAGGCGCAGAAATAGATTGCTCTGGATGGTGCAACACCTACAAGGTTAGGACCCAATCCTTTGAACAGGGCACGAATACCCTCGTTTTGAACGATATATCTGATACATTGATATACACCTGGCGCAGAATGACTGTGAGGAGAAGAACCTCCTGAAGAAGCAAACGCGCCAAAGTGAGAGAGAGCAATCAAAGCATGCCTGAAACACAAACAAATTATTGTAAAAATTAAGTTCAATTAATTTTAATTTTATTTCATTATATATAATTATCATTTTTTTATTTTATAATTATTAAAAATTATAAAAAATTGATATAAAAGATTTACAAATTATAATTAAAATATTGCATACTTTAAAGTATATATTGATTATTGTACATGAGATATATGAATATATGAGATTATTTGAACTAAATAAAAGCTTCAAAGTAATCATTTAAAACTCTGTATTGTAATAAACTTTAATTAATAGCTAAAACAAAAAATAAAGTTAATGTAAAAATAGATTTTATAATTTTTAATCGAGAAGAATAGCTAAGATTTCTAGAATCGACAATGGAAGGTAAGCGCTTCGTTAAAACTTTATTTTTAACCAGCTATGTCATGAATACGGGAATTAGTTGAGAATCAATGTTGGATTCTGAGATTTCAGAAATATATTTGAATATTATATATATCATAATATTTATTTATCATCATATACTATATATCAAATAAGTAAAAAATTACCTCGTATAGCCACCAGTGCAAAGCCTTCTCCTCTGTTCCGGTTTTGGAAAACTTTTACATGTGACATGACCGGAAGTAAGTTCCTTGTTCACCGGAGGTGGATAAAATCCAGAAGAAGAAGATTGTAAACGTGTTTTAACCACTTCTAAGGGACAAGTAACTATAGCACCAGTAGTTCCAGCCACTCTATAAAACACAAAATACATCCAATGTGAGAATCTTCTTCAAAAAATTGAATTTTTTACTTAATCGATTAAAAAATTACTATTATATATTTGAAGATTAATTTTATCAAAAATCGATAAAAGATTCCGATAATAGATATTTTAAATGTTAAGATTTAAAATAAAACATAACAAAATAAAATGAACAAATCATATAAAGAAAAACTTACATTATTTGATATGCTATTCAATATGATTAATTATTTAATAATTAATAATTAAGCAATATCTAAAATTTGGTTAGACATAAAAAGAAATTTTTTTAAATTTTAAATGGTATAAAATATTTTAATTCAATATATTCTTTTTAAAATTAAAAATTATCGCTTATTTTGATAAATTATGTTCAAATTTTTAAAAACATATTTGCATTGTTCACACATCAGGATAAATTTTATTCTTAGAATAAAAAATATAAATAAACATATTATCTTTTTCATTACAAATAAATAATATTTTTTTCAATAGTTTTCATAATAAAGTAAATGAATTTTGTTAATCATTAAAATTTCGAAACATATAATTAATTAAAAATTTAAAATATTTAAAAAAAATATTAATTCTTTAACATTATATTCTAAAAATTTTTTATGCTTAATGTTTCAAAGAATAAATATATATAAAAAATGCAAAAATGCAATTTAAAAAGAAATGTATTTGCATTATTTATGCGTATCATTGCACTTACGAAAAAATGATGTAGTGACGTAGTAAAAAAATAGACATTTTTATACTAATCTATTTTTCTCTTGTATACATACCTATATAATACTAGAATGTTATTAATTTATCAAATTAATAATTTGAATATTATACACTAAATAAAAAATAATATATTTTTTTATGATATAAAAATTCTTTCAATAGATAATCAAACTTGGTTACGATAAAATCTAATCGATTTATGTACGTTTCAGAAACGACGAAGAAACTCGTATATTATACATTCATTATGAAAACATATATCTTCCTGTTGGAAAGCCGGTTATGGCGCGTATTATACGATATATGATATTATTTCGATTTATATAAAGTTATCGATCATCGAAGATTGAATAATCGAAGTAATAATGAAAAATTATCACTGACATAAGTCAAAAATACATCGCAGTTTCTAAATTGGGACGATAAGTTATATACATGCAACATACGCACGAAAGCTGTAAGAATGATGTAACACATGAACCGGTAACTATGTCGCAGTATTAAACACTAGAATTCACCTATGTTATGATACTATAAAATTTTTTTAGAAAATATATTTATTGTATAATATTTTTATAAATTAGAAGCATTATGCAAAATGCAGATTTATTAATGAATCATTTTGATATTTCGATCAAAATCACCGACATAAATTTATGACGCACATTTTTTAATCTGATTATTTTAATAAATATAAATTGCAATTAATCAAAAATTTAATAAAATAAAAAAAAAATAAGAAACCCACCCTCCAGCAATGAGATGTATCGCGGTATCGCGATCCAACATTCTTCCACTCGACCCTGTTATCCTGGGAGCATGAACTTTAAGAAGAAACAAAACTAAAAATCACAGATTCACACGCGTGAAATACACAAAACCTACATTCAATCGCAATGCTTTACTTTTTCGACAGTATAACTCGATTCTTCTTTTGAAAATCGAATTGTATGAGAAAACACAAATAACGAATATCACCTTCACCTTCAAGAACTCGACAACAACTGGTCGCATTGATCGTAATCGTAACAAGTAACAAACGTACGGCGCACCGCACGCCATAGACTAATTCAAGACTAGAGAAGTCGCAGCATTTCGACAATCGGTACAAGAGCGGGAAATTGATTATGATTTTAAATATTATTAAACAAAATATTTGCAAGGAATTTAAATAGAAGGGAAAATAGAATATTAGGGAAATTTGAACAAAACATACACGTATTTTAGAAAAGGATTAAATAAATATAATACTGAATCTTACATTGAAATAAATTCAATTACAATAAAAAAACTAAAAAACGAATTTAAAAATTTTGGAGCAAATACCTTTTAGAATTCCAAATGTTGCAATACTTGAGATACATCTTCAGTGTTATCTTCTTTTTCTCTTTTAAGAGCTAAATGCATAGCTCTTAAAAATCGTGTTAAAGTACACTTTTTTGTTCTTAAATAAAAAGCATGAGCTAAAAACGGTATTTTTCTTAAAATACGTCCACTAAAACCCAAACTTTCTTGACTTAATTCCATCAACTTAAGACTATTTTTTGTTTGAAATGTTTCTTCATAGCCCATTCTTTTTAAATATGATAAATCATATATTTCTTCTGGTTCCATTAGTTTTGTCTGAAATAAATAAACATATATTTTATAATATGTTTTATAAAATACAAAAAGAATATTTTTTTACCCTCATTAATTCTTTCAGACATGAAGTATATATTTTGTATATAGCTTGATGCGTAGGATGTCCAATATATTGTTTTATATCTGCTCTATCAATAAATGCTAAATCAATAGCTTCTGATAAATTACTAGTCGTTAAAATCAAAACATTTGGATATTGTTTTATTTGATCTAGTTGTGTTAATAAAGCATTTACTACTCTTATAGAATCAGTAGGTTCCATTCCATTACTACAAGACTTCCGAGCGTGCGCTAAAGATTCCACTTCGTCAATTAAAATGCAAACTAATGCGTGCGAATTTTCTAGAAGATTTTTTATTTCATTGAATAGTTTCATAACTAATTTACCACTCTGTAAATAATATTAATTTTTTTAATTTTATTATTATTTAATTCAATATTTTTTCTAATATTACCTCTGAAAACCATTTTGAAAATAAACTATGACTATTTATTTCAATGAATTCTGCATGAGTAAATCTTTTGCCTAAACGAATAATAATTTTTTGAGCAAGAGCTTTGCATAAACTAGTTTTTCCTGTGCCTGGTGGTCCATGTAATAACACTACTTTATTCCAACTTATAATGTTTGTATCAACACTATGGTCTGCAAATATCATTGCTGTTTCTACAAAATGAAGTAGCTAAAAAAATATACAGATTTTTAAATTTCTCACTGATAATTAATATATAATTATAATTATAATTAATAAAGAATAAATTAATTAAAATAATATTATAAAACATTAATATTTTATAATCATAATTATAATTTAAAAGATTCAATATTTTCAACTAACATAATCTTTTATGCTAGAATCAAAATAAAGACTTTCCCATAGATAATGAAATTCTTTTGTTGGTAATATCCAATGAGAAGAAACTGCAAGATCTTCTCCATCATTTTCCATTGTTTCTGTAGCTGCAGATTCTGTAGTTAACCTATATACATGAAACTTTAGAGTAGCATTTTGTATTTTCATATGACTTCTCTGTAACAATAAATTTTATATTGCTAATATATTTTGTACAATTAAATTTACTTTTGAATTATTACCTCTCCATGACTAGACGTACATATTATGGAATCAATATGAGTCTGTAAAATGCAATTTTTTAAATCCTTTGCATAAATAATAGTGTTTAACATAATATCCTCTAATGTATTTATTTCAGCATATATTAAATTTTCTATTTTTTCAATAGAAAGTGTGCTGAAAATTAAATATTTTAAATTATAATAAATCATATAAAAAATATTAAAAATTTGTTATAAAATATTAAATTATAACTTATTAAATAATAGAAAAATTAGATTTTAATTCGATTGAAAATTTGAGACAAATTATTATTTAAAAAAACTATATATAATTTGTAATACCTATCAATATTTTGACAGATTTCCACGTGCAAAACTTCGGATGCTTCCATTTTAATTCAATTTTCTGAACTTTAATATATTTTTAAAACCAAAAACTGATTTAAAACTTTTCTTATATCGATATATAACAATTTTAAGAAGAATATGAAATTGTGTATTTTGGAACATTCAAGAATTTAAAATACAATTTGAAATTAATTACGCAAGTGTTTTTAATAAGTTTTATAATATACATACATAGATATATATTAGGAAAAGAAAGGAAAAAAACTTTAAAAAACTTCAAGGTAGTTTTCAATAATTGAATGATTGAAAATTGAATATAAAATTCGTGAAGTGTTTTTGATCAGTTAGATCACGATCTATCTCATGAAAAATTTATGGTAATATATTATAATATCAGACGCTATAGTAATTCGTATTTTTATAAGTCGACAACGGTCGAACATTTGTAGTAAATGATTTGAGTACATGGGTTTGAAATGTAGTGTATATTGAATAAACTTGTAGATTGTCCAACAATTAATAATCGATTTGTTTTTTATCGTCAATTACTAAACAGCTAATTGTTGGTCAGATTTTAATGAAATGAGTAAAGCAATAGAAGATGATGAGCGCAGAAGACGCTCTTTGGAGGCGGGTAGAGAAATGGTAGGTCTTTTTTCTTAAGATTAATTATTTCTCTTATGACATCAAGTCTCAAGTATTTTTTAATTATTTATAAGTTATTCCTATGTTATATACGACAGAAACTTTATTTAATATAATGAATTTGAAAAATGAATAAAATATTTAAAAAAATTTTAATTCCTTCAATAAAAAATTATATGAAAATTTATTTTGTATATAAAACATGATTTTGATTTAATTTAGTTGGAAAAATATAAGGCAGAAAAGGCTAGCAAAGTTCAAGGTACAAGTTATAATCAGATGGATGAGATATCTGACGAAGAATCTTTCCGAAATGACAAATCTATTGGACATAGAGAATCTTACGTAAGAATAAAAATTTATTTATTTGTTTGAAATTCTAGTTTTATTAATTATAGGTACATGAAGGAGTTTCTTCAAGAGATGTGACGCAAAGCAGTGTCAGTATGAGTGAAGGAGAAGCAGATGGAGATTTAGAAGGTCTTGCAGGAAGAGTGGCTCAATTAGAAGAATTATTACAAGGAAAAGAAGCCATAGTGGAAGCTTTAAATGCAGAAATAGATCATTTGAGAGCAGAAGCATCATCTCCAAATTCTTCTCAAAGCCAGAATAGTAGTATACCTAGCAGAGATGTTATACCTTTGTATCATACAAAAGTAAATGAAATATTTTTTTTCTTTTTTTGACATAGTATATGTAGATAGTTATGTCTTTTGTTTTATGAAACAGTTACAAGAGTTTGAAAAAGCAGTGAATCAAAGAGATAACCTAATAGAAGAATTAATGTGGTCTTTACAACAAGCAATATCTGCAAGAGATAATTTTGCTAGTCAATTGAATGCTTTGAATGCAATGGAAATACCTTGTAAGGATAATACTAGTACTATGAATAATAAAAGCTTACAAGAAAAGGTAAGAACTGTTCAGATCAAAAAAATAATTGGAAAAATTTTTATTTTTTGAATTTTTTTTTAGATTGATACTTTAGAAAAAACTTTAAATGATCAAAGATCAATGATACAGAAATTAAATAGTCAGTTGGCTCAAAACTTAGAACATGTACAAACACTTGAAATGGAGAAAGAAACTAGAGTTGCAGAGATCAATGATTATAAGTTACAAATTAATAATTTAAATGAACAAATTCGTGTAAGTGCTGCTGATAAAAATTTAAATATCACTGAGACTTTAGAGCAACAGAAACAATATGAAGCACGCGTAGATAAAATAAAACAAGATATGCAACATATATTAAAGAAATTCACAACTGAAACAAATATAAATACTACACGTCATCAGCAGGAATTGAAAGATTTAGCTGCTAAACATGAAAAGGAAATAATAAATATTCAAGATAAGTATGAAGAAGAAATAAAACAATTGAAGGAAGAGAATAAGATTCTAGCTGATCGTTTAAACAAGGAGCTGCCAGATTTGGATACTAGACATGCCAAAGAACTTTCCATTTTTCAAACACAGTTGACTCATTATAAAAAAACTGTAGAAGCTTTGAAACTTGAATTAATGAATCGCTCAGAATCTCAACAAATTGCCCAAACTGAATTAAATGAATATAAATCGAAGTTTAATGAGTTTAAAGTACAGTCAGAAAGAGCTAGACATATTCTAAATTTAGAAAATCAAAAAGAAAAAGAGATGCTAAGCGAACAGATTAAGTTACATAAACTTCAATTAGAAGAAATTACTTCAAAATACATTGCAGTGACTGCAATTCTTGAATCAAAAGAAAGTATTGAACGTTCTTTGGAACAGGCTTTATCAAATGCTGCTATATTAAAAGAAGAAAATGAAAGTTTAAAATTTAAGCTTGATGATCTCTCATCAAGATATTCAGCAGCACAATCATTAATAGAAAACAGCCAAATTCATGAAAAAACTTTGAGTAATAGGATATATGATTTAGAAAAATCATTATCTAGACTTAGTGGTATAAATATGAGTACTTTGAGTGAATTAAATGAAACTACGTATCAGACTTTTGATGAAGTGGCAATTCAATATCAATTAACAAAACAAAAACTCGAGGAGAAAGCAGAATTAGAAAAACTTCTAATTCAGAGAATTGAAGGTCTTGAAGAAGATATTCGTAAGTCAAAAGAGGAATTGGAGCAAACAGATTTAATTAAGAAATCGTATGAGAAACAACTTAAAGATATGAAAAATGTGTGCGACAAATATAAATCTGAATTAATTTCCTTGAAAAAGAATGATTTAGATGATCAGAGTTCCTTACTATTAGAAGAGGAATTGAAATTATCTAATCAGAATATGAAAGATACTGTTAATGATTTATTACATAAAATTGAAGAGGATCAACAAGAAATTAAGAAATTTAAGATAATCCTTGAACAAAAAGAAACAGAGTTTGCAGAGTGTATAAAGAAAATGTATGATTTAACAGATAAATTGAAAAAATCTGAACAAGAACGTGAACAATTGAAAAATGGATTGGCCACAGCATGGGCTCAATGTGCAGAGGTAGAGGAGAAATTGAATCAAACCTTAGCTTTAAATGACAGTAAATTAGATATTTCTATGCCATCATCCAGTTACAATAGTGCCTTAATGAAGCAATATAAATTAGATAGAATTGTTGATGATTCTGTTAGTATGATGCATGATCAAAGTTTAGATAAAAATAAAACTTTATCCGAGAAAAATGAAAATCTTGATAATAATAATAAAAGAGTATCATTGCAAGGAAAATTAACATTTGTAGTAGAAGAAAATGAACGATTACGAAAAGAATTAGAACATTTAAGCCAACAAACAGACTATGAAGAAATTAAAAGCAAATTGAAATATTATATTAGTCTCTCAGAAAATCTTACTACAGAAAAGGAACAAAAAATGGAAGAAAATAGAGTTTTGAAAAAGAAATTAGACAATATATATTTATTAAAAGAATCTATAAATCAATTAAGATCAGAAAAGGAAACTTTACGCAAAGAAATTGAAACATTAATTCACGTTCATGACGAGCAAATAAATGCTATAAAAACTGAAACTACATCTGAAATTAGAAAAGTACAATCATTGATATTAGGCTTAAAAGAAGGTACAACAGAATTAAATGATCTTAAAATCGAATTGGAAAAGCGACACGCAAAAGAGATGGAAGAATTGCGCATGTATTTCGAACAAAAATGTTTATTGATGGAAAAACAATATTCTGAAGAAATATTTAGTCAGCAATCAAAAAAAATGTCAGATAATGATAGTGAAATTGCTGATATAACTGAAGATTTATATTTTGGTGGTGCAGGCGATTGTTTAAATGTTTCTAATATATCTGAACATAATTCAAGACTTGGTTCTCCAATTGGAGATGAACAACAATCTAAGTATTCTAGTAGAAATTTTAATACTTATAATAAATCTGAACTAGAATATGAAATAAAAACTTTACAACAAGAATTGCAAAACAAAATAATAGAGGGACAGGAAATGAAATTAAATTATGAAAAAGCTTTGGAAGACCAGAAAAATATATATGAAAAAGAATTATACAATAATAAAGAAAGGAAACATGGATTTTTAAGAAATATGGTGAATCAGGCAAGTAAATTCTCAAACATTTTATGCACTTCTTTTTTGTATATTTTATGCACTTTATTTGTTATTTGTTATATTAAATGTTGGACATCATTTTTGTGCAATACAATTGCTTTTTTTTTTTAGAAATATGTGTTACATACTAATGAAAATCAAATTTTTTGATTTACTTCTTTATGTATATTAGATTGCACTTTAAATGTTTTATTTTAATTTAAATGGTATGTTTTTTCGTATAGTAGCATTTATATATTTTTTTTAAAAAATGCATGATTTTTTAATTTGAATGTATTTTATGTTTTTCTTTTTGATTTTTTTTTTAAATTCTAAAAACATTTTTTAATAAATTTTACCAATTAATAAAAATTATAATAGGAGTTTTGGATTATGAATTATCAATTGGAAAATAGAAGTATTAGCCCAAACTAAATAGATTCACAATGTACAGTTTCTCTTGTAACTAACAGCTATTGTGTGATCGTGTGCATGCAGCATTGTCAAACAGAATGGGATGCGGGTGCGTTGGAAAACGGTGAATTAACGCAACTGCGAGCAGCCTACAACCATCAATTGGAAGAACAAGTTGCGCTAGCTAAATTGGATATTATTAATGCACTTCAAGAACAAATTCAGGTAGCTTTAGATTTAGCTACACCAATTTATAATATATTATAAAACTTGTAATAATTATTAGAACATTTATTTAATTTAATTTTGTATTAAAATATCATTTTCAATTTATTATTTTCATATTATTGTAATTTAATGAATAGGTACTTTTAACGATCGAGTCGGACGTAGAAGACAATTGGCCAATAGAATTGCTAGAATTACGAGATAAACTAACTGGTAATGCAAAAAAAGAAATGCAACTGCTCAAAAATACACATATTGAAGAGATGCAACATTTAAAAGAAGAACATTCTCGAACTGTGACTAA